TTACTAGGAATGTTTTTCCTGGTTTTAGCATTTTGAGTGTCCATGGGATCATAGGATCTAGACATTAGAAAGCCCTATTAAATCATCTAATCCATCTCCCTGCCAGTGCAGGATTGTCCTCTATTGTATATTTGCTAGTGTTTTCTCCATTCTCCTTTTAACTGTGTGGAGAGATAACACTGTTGGTACTTTGTTCTTACCTTACTATTAATGGGATTATTATTTTGGATGATTTTCATATTAAAAGCAACTGTCTTTTTAAGTATTAGTAAAGTACTAAGGTTGGAAAAAGAATTTACCACATTAAATTGCAAGGGCTAAATGCTGCCAGCCTTTGTTCCTGTTGGATAGCACTTCATGGCACACAAAGTTGCACTGAAATCAGTGGGACTACCTATTATCTAAGTAAGATAATACTCAGTGGATGCATTTACACATGCACCCAATTGCACTCTTGTTACCCTAGAAAGTACAAAATGACAGGGCAGTAACAACTGTTACTGTACAGTCCTGGCAGTGCACGGGTCATTTCTGACCCTACTACACAGCAGCAATGAGCTAATGTGCAGTAGTTCATTGCTACTGTTAGTGCCTTCTACTTTGAGGGCCGAGCCAAGCAGCCAGCAGGTGATTGACTGGGGCAGCCATTTTAAATCCCTGGCTGCCTATATAAACAGGGCAGTTTGCTGCTGCCAGGTGAGGAAGTAACTTTGCCTGGTTGCATGCTGGAGATGAGGACAAGTGCTGTAGGGGATGGTTTGGAGGCTCCTGATCCTAGGTGTGACCTAAAACTGTACCCTGCTAGGAGTGGGTGGCCTAGTGGGGCTCCCAGTGGTATAGGAGCCTCCAGAAAATGCCAGGCTGCTTACCACCCTGGTGAAAGGCAAGTAGGGACACCTAAAACACAGCACTCACCTTTGGGTGGGTCATTTACCATTGGAGCAGGGTAGGCCAGGTAAGCTTCAGAAGTGCCTAAGCCTGCTGGGGGAGTGACCCTGTAGGGCCAGGCACACTTCCAGAAACACCTGAGCCAGGAATGGGGGACCCTGACCCCTGAGTGCAGGCAGGAGGTGTAAACCCAACAAGGGACTTAAATGGTGGTTGGTGGGGCCAGGACCAGAAGGGTCAAAAGGGCCAGGGGCCCACTGTGAGGGACGCCCATAATAAGCAAAGAAGCTCGGGGTCCCAACTGGCCTGAGATGGGGTCAAGGCTTATATGGAAGCTGAAGATCCCATGAATGGGGCCACAGTTAATGGGTGAAGGAGACGGTTGATCCAACTGCCTGACATGCCATCTGTGAGGCTTGGGCTGCAGTGTAGGGGTGACACAGAGCTGTGGGTAGGCCCTCCAATATCAAGGTATAAAATGGGCAGCGTCCCACCTTAATTAACAGCTTAATTAATTACAACAAGGCATGGCAGGTAAGACAGGTAGGTGGTGTGCCCAGAGGCAGGTGGAAAACTAGCTCTATGGCTAGTCAGGAACACCCACTTTTCTACACTGCAGTAGCATTGGCAACATGGTTCATGCCTGCTGATGCTATGTTGCCACAGTGATGAGCTATGTCACCATAGCTTATCGGTATGGCAACCTAGCATCTCGTGTAGATGCATCCAGTGGGTGCATCTACGTGCATACTTTATTGCAGAGCTGACTAATCAGCTCCTCAGTAAAGCATCACTGTCTATGTATGTGCTGGTATTAGGGCACAGCCAGCCCCTCCACTACCCACCACCACTACCTGGAGCCCCCAGCCAGTTGCCAGTTCAGGGCTGCTCCACCCCAACTCAAACTGCTGCTGTCCCAAGCACGTGTGCAGATACTGTGCCCAGGAGCAGCTGACTCCTACTGAAACACCTCCAGAGTTTGAGTTGGCTTAATTGCACATCTGGATACACCCACTGGAAGCATCCAGATGATAATGGAAGTTTGTTTCCCTTGTGACAAGTAGTGGTGGCACACCTTGAGCTGCTGCTAGTTGTCATCAGGGAGCATGTTCTTTGGAGTGTGGCAAGTTACCCCGGGTGGGGTAGAGAAGGCTGGGGCCAGCACTGAGCTGGCCCCAGTACCCTTATTTGGGGTTCTGGGGGCCTTCTGGAGCTGTAGCAGTGGCAATTCTGCCACTCAGAGCCTGGCCAGCAGCTGTAGGGCAGCTCTGGGTGGCCTGGCACTGCTTTTGAGCAGATATTCAGGGGTCAAAAAAACCCATGGGAGGGGGAAAAAAGCAGAGGAGAGCTTGCACGGGCAGTATTCCCTTACAGTACAGAGAACATCTAAATGGTACCACAGAAAATGATTGCAGCGCCTCATACCACATGGCTGTGCTCGTCTGGATGCAGCCACTGTGATTAAAGGTGACAGAATTTAACCCACACTGATTATTTAGATGCTGACATCCAATTTTATAAATATGTAAGTATGATACATTCTACCGATTGCAATTCTACAAATGCTTACATATACTTTACATAATTATTCTGATTTGCAAGGTTTGGTTACATGAATTTGCATTAGCAATGAGTGAACTTCAAAGGCACAGAATTAGAGGGCTTGATCCTGCCTTTGCTTGTGCATGCTCTCCAATTGTGCAAAAATTAATTGCTGGATGTGGTACTGAAGTTTTAATAATAAAGCTAGACCCATCTTCCCATCCAGAAAAGCCCTAGTGTTTGCAGTTTAATTTTCTGACTCTTTTCTCGTATCCGACATTGGATATCCTATCCAAAATGCTGCAAGGCATTTTGGGATTCTTAGTTGTTAGCTGCATTAATTTCTTTTATTGATGACATCATCAGTATTTTGTCACTATATAGAATTTAGCTGTCCTGTGTAAAGCTGACCACAGAAGTTTTAAAAATTGATTTTTTTTTCTTTGTAGCATAAGCGAATGATTTATTATCTTCTTCTGGGACATCAGCCACAGGCAAAAAAATAGCTTTAATAACATACTCTAAAGCCACTTATACTGATTGTGTATTTAAGACACTGGTAAAAGAATTGCATTGTACCTAGACAAAAGAATGCTTGATGACAAGAAAATTAAAAAAAAAAAAAAAAAAACCCACCAAAACAAAACTCTTAGAGCCTCCTTCAAACAAATCTTTGATTGTAGAACTCAATAAGAACTTTTCAGTTTTAACTTTTTATCTGATAGTTTAAATGTCTAAAGTTTCTGAGTTAATATATATAGAAACTACACAAAATAGCCCAGAAAGATGAGAGAGAATAAAATGAACAAGGATATAGTTTAAGGAATATGCTAGGCAAGGGCTTGGACATGATCATCAACTTTAAATAGCCATTCTCCATTGTATCTATCTACTATTACAGATATAATTTTGTTGCGTTTATTTATTTGATTTCTATGCCACCCTTCTGTAGCAGGGCACTAAGGTGCCTGCTACTTGGAAAGCCACAGTAGTGGCTCAGGTGCTGGTTGCTAGGGGCAACCAGGATGAGCTGAGGGCCCACACCTGGAGAGTCAGCTGACCGGAAGGGGCAGGGCTGACTAGTGTAAGACAGACTGGAGGCTGTGAGCTCTCTCTCCCTCTCAACTGGTAGCCAGAAAGAAGGAGTAAGCACTGCTTGACTGAGGGAAGAGCTTGGGCCTGAATGTAGGAAAGAGAAAAAAGGCCTGGATGTATAAGCCTCTAGTTACACAGGGGAGAGATGTAGTGTGGTTTGGAGAACGTTTAGCCAGGTGGTAACTTTGTGTTATAGCCCAGGGGCTTGTGTTATTGTTTGTTGTTGCTGTTACACCGGAGGGCTGGGTGAGGCTATTAGGGGTTGGAGGAGGCCTCATAGGGGCTCCATGGTACCGTGGGGACCCCGGTGCCAGAGAGGGCACAGCATTTGGGGTGCATTGGCCCCAGTCCCAGTGCAGGTAGTTGCGAGAAGCCCCAGTGCAGGCACCAGTGGGGGGGCACAGGCTGCAAAACAAGCCTGAGAGCGTCCGTGGGGCACGGAGAGGGAAATTGACCAAACAACATCCGGTACATCTGCGAGGCTTCGTGGGTGGTTGGAGCCACCCATAGCCCATAAGGCTGGGGTGCCTGGAACCCCATTATAGAACTGAGATGTGGGGTAGCAGCAGAACTGTAGCCAAGGGAACGAAGGGCAGCCTCCCTACAATAATTACAGAACATCAAAGATGTGGTGGGTGAGATTGTGAGGGTGCTTTAAAACCAGCTTGGCATGGTAGGGGGCGCTAGGGGTGATCATGGCCACCCCTAGGACCCGGTGCTGTTACACCTCCCCAGAAAGGCTCAGGATGGCTTACAATAGCAAAGTCATAACAAACAGGAATACCCAAAGCTTAAACCTGCCAGCTTATGAATATATGTAATTTATACATGTTTTTTTATGGGTCCAAATATGAGTGCACTAGAAAAGTGTCTTCTTACTTAGACACTGGACTAGATTCAGATTTTGGTTCTGAACAATCAAATATTTAAATAAAGCAGCAACGCTTCAAGACCACACTTCTTAGTATCTACAGTGCAAACATACTGGTAAATATAAAAAACAGAATTATTCTACTGTTGGCAATATCATGAGAAACTGAGATACCATTGGTTTGTGTGTGCACATGTCTATCTGTGTCTGTGTGTATACACATTCATATGTACATATATATGGCAGTTGAATGAAATTTTCCTATGTAAAAATATAAAAGGATGCTACCAGGATAGTTCCATGCAGTTTCATAGGCAGAGAAAAGGCAGTTGCACTTGGAAGAAAATATTTTATAGAAATGGCTTAAACTTAATTTGAGAGGCAGATAGAAGTATTTGGTGTATGTTAATGGAAAACCAATATCAAGATTAGAACATTTCTAAAATGCAAATAATAGCAACAACTATAATGACATAGAGGGACTGAGGAGAGACATCCATAGATTTATACCCCCTGTATGTGATGTGCACTCTAATCAATACAAATATTCCTCATTTAGGGGGAGAAGTTACAAGTTTTATATTGAATATATTTGCCCCCACTCCCTTTTTATTTGCTTTCCCATAACATTTATGTCAGTAAAATGTTGTTTGTCAAATTGTCCCTCTGAAGAGATTTGAGTGCAAAGATGAGATTTGTTTAATCACATAAGTTTTGATTTTGTGACCAAGTGAAACTAATTTTTAAGAAGAGAGGAAATAGTTTATGCAGGTCAGACCATTCATTAAGGGACTGAGAACAAAACTGGGTTCTGATCCCATGTCAGGAAGATGAGTTAAAATTGTACATCACAAATATCAAATTGTTAAGTCTGAGTACTTCCTCTGTTCAGTTGGTGAGAAAGTCAGAGGCCGAAATGTTCATATAAAACATTTGTTGGATAATGTTGAATAGTAAATTAATTTGGAAAAATGGCAGGCCATTCATGGAAAATTCACGAACAGGGAAACAGCTAAATTGAAAGAATACGTTTTTCATTACTGATTTCCCCCCCACCCCCACTGTTTAATTTAAAGAAATCAAAACATCAGTGTACATTTTCATTTCTTTAAGAATTAAAACGTGTGCAAAGTAATATCACTATTTTGTGAAGAAGACAAGCTTACTGTTTGCTCTCATGTTAGCTGGGTTGATAATGTGAATCCCAATGATGTTATGTCATCCTAGATCAGTATTTCTCAACCTTTTAAGTAGCAAGTACCCC